GTCACTAAGGAGTGTCATAACTTTCTCATGATAGTCTTTCTGGTTCAAAATCACTGTGCACCTTCCTTTGTCTGCTGTCCTTGCTGAGAATGGTGAGTGCATCCCTCTCCTCTCTATTGATGGTCATGGATTTCATAAGGAACAAACATACATTTCCACCAACACCCCCCCCCCCACACACACACACACACACACCACCACCACCACCCAAAGAACATAAGAGGATCTGCAGTGGAAGTGGTCTCCAGCTACAAGTACTTGAATGTACACCTTAATGGCAACCTCTGCTGGGCAACACCACCACCAGCCTGATCAAGAATACTCATCAGAGACTCTACTTCCTCAGGCGGCTGAGACGAGCTGTCTGGGAAGCTCAGTCCTCACCTCCTTCTACAGGTGTGCACAGGAGAGCATCCTGTGCTCCAGCATCAACATGTGGCATGGAGGCTGCACAGCTGCAGAAAGAAAAGCTTTGCAGAGAGTGGTGAAGGCTGCACAGAAGATGTTGGAGTCAGTCTCCCCACCATCACAGCCACCTCTAGATGCAGAAAGAGGGCCACCTGCGTCATGAAGGACCCCACTCACCCAGCACACACACTTTTTTGCCCTGTTCCCCTCAGGAAGGAGGTTGTGGAGCATTAAGTCTAGAACCACTAGACTGAGGAACAGCTTCTACCCTGAGGTCGTTAGACTCATGAATCTCTAACCAGAATAATCACTGTGGAAAATCAGATCATGTTGCTGCTGATCTGTTTCATGTTGCTGCTGATCTGTTTCATGTTGCTGCTGATCTGTTTCATGTTGCTTTGTTCATGCATGCTCATCTGCTTACACAGACTCATGTTCATGCTGCTGTTCGGCATATTGTTTTTGTTGTTTTCATGTTTTCAGTGCTTAGCGTATTTTTATTTGATGTTTTTCTTAGTTCATATCTTAGACCTTATTACTGTTTTTCTTTTACATTTTATTGTTGGATGTAACTGGGATCCTGTGTACATAATTTCATTCCACCACATGTACCACTTGTGGTGTGAACAACAATAAAGAATCTCTGACTCTCTGACTAATTGAGAATTCGGGTGGCTGTGGCTGAGTGGTTAGAGCAGTTGTCCTCCAATGCAAGAGTTGGGGGTTCGAATCCACCAGCAGTCACATGCTGAAGTGTCCTTGGGCAAGACACTGAACCCCTCATAGCCTCTGATGTGTGTCCCATCAGTGTATGAATGTGATCTGAAGCACTGATTAGTCTCTTTAGAATGATTTAAAAAAGTTAAATCTGGTCCCCTGGACATTCAAAAAAACAAAACCAAGCAAAACAACAACAAATTAAAGCTGCAAGCCACATTGAAGGCTCTCACAGCAAAGCGCCACTCCGGCCTTACAGCGACCGCGGGAGCTCTGGCGACTCCGCCCAGTCGCCATTGCGAACACTTGCGTGCAATTCCCACACGTGTCCACCAGGGTTCCCATATGCCAAAACTTTCCAATCACCTTCCGTTCATATCAGTATGAATCCGGCTCCAAGCCTTACAAGTTTGGCTAAAATCCGACCTTCAAGACGGGAGTTATTGTCACTTCCTGTTTTGACACGAATGTAAAAGGACTTCCTTTAGGCTTTTCAACATATAACTGTTGGAATAATCTAGGGGGCGCATTTGATTCAAATGTTAAAGAACAATACCAATGTGTCTATAAGTGCTCACTGATCACGCACAATAAATCAGGCACACATTGGATTATATTTCACTGAAATATAACTGTTGGAATAATGTAGGGGGCGCACTGGAGTCAAAAGTAAAACAACAATACCAATGTGTCTAGAAGTGCTCACTGATGACACACCCAAAATCTCGTGCAAATAGGATGATGTATCACTGAGATATAACTGTTGGAATAATCTAGAGGGCACACTAGAGTCAAAAGTAAAACCACAATATCAATGTGTCTAGAAGTGCTCACTGATCATGCACAATAAATCTGGTCCAGAACGTATCACTGAGATATAACTATAGGAATAATGTAGGTGGTGCTGTGGAGGCTATTGGCCACTTATCATGGATTCCTGTTCAAGGGGTGGATAATGATCGATCATACTGATTTTGGTGCACCTCTGTTCAAATCTGTGCAATTTTGAGCCAAACGTATTGCAACAGCGTCACTTCTTAATTCGTCACGCCGCCACGCCTACATCCTCCAGCTAAAACTGTTTGTAATTTAAATCAAGTTGAATCAAATCATATATATTCTAACACAGGATCATCCTGATTAAGTCAAGGGTGTCAATGAGGGAGTATTACAAGTAAAAAAGGAAACTTCCTGTTCTGAGGGGGCGGGACTTTGATGATGTAAAAATATGACCATAGTGGATCGTCGGGCATCCAACAGGGATGAGTCATGCCAAGTTGAGTGCATTTCGGTCTTTCAATGTGAAAGTTATAGCGTTTGTAAATTTATGGCGTGAAGTGCAACTTTGAGGCCTGGCCACGCCCCTCTAACATATACAAAACCAAAAGCTTTTGATAACTTTTATTCCCCAATGAGTTAAGGGCATATCAATCAAGTTTGAAGGCAATCACTCAAAATTTCTAGGATGAGTTCGTTAAAATTCTCCATTAGAAATGCCCAAAAATGACCCTTTGACCCAAAATGGCAGACTTCCTTTTGAGTTTGGACCAGGGCTCCAAGAGACTTTTTCATAGGTCCTGAGAAGATACAGATGTTAACCGAGTTTCAGAATTATCGGTCCAAAAATGGCTTGGGGCTGAGGTTTTAAAATATTCTAGGGGCGCTGTGGAGATTATCGGCCAATTATCATGGATTCCTGTTCAAGGGATGGATAATGAACGATCATACTGATTTTGGTGCACCTCGGTTAAAATCTGTGGAATTTAGAGACAAATGTATGGCAATGGCTTTACGTCTTATTTCGCCACGTCACGACGCCCACATGCTCCACCCAAAACTGTCAGTGTTGGAAAGCGAGTTACATCAACATGTCTTCGGTCACTGAACACACTATCATGCTGTTCAGGTGACAGGGGTCAGATAGGGATCGTTCAACGTAAAACTTTATACTTCCTGTTGTCAGGGGGCGTGGCTTAAGTGATATCATGATTTAACCATTCAGTCTTGCAGGGGACCGGATGTGGATCAATCACTGAAGGTTTGATGTCTCAGACAGTTTTCTTGTAGGAGCTATTAACGTTTCGTTTTTCATGGCAAGATGTCAAACGATCTGGCCCCACCCCTTCAGCATGCTCCAAAATGAACCGTTTAGATAACTTTGCGTCCCCCATGCCTTTTGACCAAAATCGCCAAGTTTGAAACCGATCGAGCAAAATCTCTAGGATGAGTTTGTTCAAATGCGGAGGATGTAAACCGCCAAAAAGGTTTGAAAATCGGGCTAGCATTCCAAAATGGCCACCTTCCTGTTTATTGTACAACATTGGTGCCAGAGGGTTTGCTGTACATCTTGGAGAATTGTACAAGAGTTCCAAATTTCATGTTTCTATGACAAACTAAGGTTAATGTGGAGGGTATTTTTGAAAATTTCTAGGTGGCGCTCTTGAGCCATTTCTGTTGCTATTTTTGCCACGACCTTAAAATACATAATTCTTCACCAGTCCTGGTGTGTCTGCCAAATTTGGTGACTTTTGGGAAATGTTAAGGCCCCCAAAACGAAAATTCATTTGGTGGAAAAAATTGCAGCTCTGGCCTGAACAGAATGATTACAATAGGCCTTCACAGTGATTCGCTGCTCGGGCCTAAAAATGTAGAAACATTTCGTCTTTCATCCAAAAGACTTCCTCAGTTTGAGGTGCTGTATTCAGCTCAGTCTTATAAATATCACCTTCTCAGAGTGGATCAACCAGTTTGCTCTTGACAATCAATACCAGCTGCTCACATGATCAAGAAAGGCCATCAGCCTAAGTGATAATGCTGTTATTGCTAATTTCACTCAGCCCCCTGTGAATAGTAAACAGCCATCAGGTGCTAATGATCCATTGTTAGGCTGATTGTCCTTCTTGATCATGTGAGCAGCTGGTTTTGGTTGTCAGCAGCAAACTGGTTGATCCACTCTGAGAAGGTGCTATTTAAGAGACTGAGCTGAATACAGCACCTCAGACTGAGGAAGTCTTTCAGATGAAAGACAAAATGTTTCTACTTTTTTTTTGTTTGTTGTTGTTTTGCTTTGTTTTGTTTTTTGAATGTCCAGAGGACCAGATTGAACTTTTTTAGATTTTTCTACCTGGATTATTGAGCATGCATCAGGATATTTAGAATGATTTGTTCAATTAGCTTTGTAGAGATCTAGTAGAGTGCTGTGTGGATGGGTAAATGAGGACACAGATTGTGTTGTAAAGCACTTTGAGTATCTTGAATTAATATAGAAAGGCGCTATATAAGTACAGTCCATTTGCCATTTACTTTATTTAAAAAGGGGAATTCCCAGACATCATGATGATACCAATTTATTTGAAGAAATTTCCCATAGTTTTGGCAACTGGCTGAGAAAACTGATCAATTTCAATGAAAGTTATTGTTGTTAGAACTAAAATGATTATTTCTGAACATACCAGTTCAAAGACTTGGATAAAAAATAAAAATAAAAAAAATATCTTTGTAGTTAGCAGAGTTGCTGGATGGTGTCTTTTTTAACCTGTTTTTACTCAAATTTCAATTAAAGCAAAAATCCATATTTTCACTTTTGCAGTGCCATCTGTGCTCAGTTCGACTCATTTTGCCAGCACAGGTCACATATTTCAGAAGATGATAAATATGTGTGAGTTACCTTTTTGAGTTGTAAAATATAGGCCTGCATATTTAATGTTTGTTTTTATTGCAGGTGTGAAAGCTTGTATAAAGTTTTTTTTTTTTTTTCATACAAACCCAGCAGCTAGCATGTGGTATTCACATAAATGTAAGTACTGACCTGATTCCGCTGTGATCTTGGCAGATTCCCGAGCGGACCGTGCTGACAGACGGAAGCTCTTCAGACATTACACCGTGGGCTCCTACGACAGCTTTGATGCCTCAAGGTAACATGAACACCAACATGCTCGTCCCCCATTTACATACAATCCACCAAATGTGCAAACAAGCGCAATACTTAAAACAAAAAGTCAAATAAACAAACATTTATTCATTAACATGTTTTTATTCATCAGAAGTCTTTAGTTTTGAACAAATATTTCCTCTTGATAAATATTTAAATGTATTTTTTCCAACCATTGTTTAGTTTTTTGGTAAAACATTTTCCCCAGTCTTCAGAAAAAAGTAACAAAATCAAGTGTAGGACTTGCCCAGTTTTTGTAGCTGTTGTACAGTGCCTTGGAAAAGTCTACAAACTATTCTATTGTATTCTATTCTATTCTACTCCAGTATATTCTAATCTAATCTATTCTCAGCATTTCCCCTACCATTATACAAGCAGGGCACCTCACTTTGTCAACTGAATCAAGTTCCCTGCTCCTACCGAACCGAACAACCCCCCCCCCCCTCCCCCGCGTGCCCCGTTGACATCTTCCAGCAAGCATGGACATAGTGCTAAGCTAGCAGTACACAATAGAGACGCGCTACCTAAAATGGGGTGGCTGTGGCTGAGTGATTAGAGCAGTCGTTCTCCAATGTGAGAGTTGGGGGTTCGAATCCACCAGCAGTCACATGCTGAAGTGTCCCTGGGCAAGACACTGAACCCCTCATTGCCTCTGATGTGTGCCCCATCAGTGTCTGAATGTGATAAAGCTCTGATTAGTCTCTTTAGAATGATTTGTTCAATTAGCTTTGTAGAGATCTAGTAGAGTGCTGTATGAATGCGTAAATGAGGCACAGATTGTAGTGTAAAGCGCTTTGAGTATCTTGAAACAAGATAGAAAGGCGCTATATAAGTACAGTCCATTTACCATTTGAAATGCTAGAGGTAGCATTTTGATTCCCTCACGGTGAGCCGTCCGCCCCCCGCACTCGAAAAACTTTAGTTTATTTTTTTAATATGTAAAAAACAAACAAGCAAACGAAACAGCATGAAGCATAATGTCAAAACTTTTTTTTAACATATTCAAGGGAGTGGGTGAAGTATAAACTTATCAAAAATCCCACTCCTTAACCACTTACATAATATTACATTAATTACATGTATAATCCATACAAGTAACAACTAAATCCATATTTACCCCATCAATATAGTATCAATTTAAGTTAACTACTACAGTAGATAAACAATGATTATTTCTTTAACTTCACCAGAAAAACAAAACTAGCATAAATAGCAAAAACAACAACAATAGTTGTGTTGCAATGTGAGCTGCTGTGGGTCCCGAGCTACTGCGGCTAGCTGTTGCTAGCTGTGGCCCTCTGGCTTCATCTCGGACCCCAGGCCCACCTCCAGCTCATGCAGCCCCTGGCTTAGACTTCCCTCAGAAGTAGCAGCTCATACTATCAATAAATCAAGGAAACATGAATTAAGTTTTACCAGGTGTATTAAATCAAGGCAGGAAAAGGTTACAGTTTACAATGCTGGCCTCTCCAATACACGACACGAGATCAAGGACCGGAAGGGGCAGATGACACATTGCTTTTACAAATATATGGGGCCTAGGTTCCTCCTTTACATTCGGGAGTACAGTCTATCAGTAGATAAGGGGGCCTTATTTTGACTAAGTGTGATCTCAATGGATCTTATGTGGTCTGACGTGTCAGAAAAAATGATACTGGTGCAAAACAAAGTCCATGCTCAATAATCCATACTATGGTATTGTATATGGTAGTATATTATGATACTGGTGCATAAAAAGGCTTTCTACGTGATTTAGCGAGTCAATAAAGAAATAACAAATAAATAAAAACTATATTCCTTGACGGATATTGAATCCATGGGAGACTCTTTTTAGAGTTGCTGGCCCCATTTAAACAGTCAGAACTGGGTCATAATTTCATTATAATCCATCTCTGAGTATATCAACAACCCAGGGTCGGTCTGGATAAAATGCTAACAACTCCCCCTGGTTCGAGGGACCCAGAGGGTTTCTTTGAAAAATTCCCAGTTCAATGACTCAGGCACCCCCCTTAATAAGATCCAGGACATATGAAAATATTTATAACACTGACTCTGTCAGTACTAAAAAATATTTGATTTGACAATTGCAAAAAGTGTTCTAAGCAGAAAACCGCTCTGATCTAGGAATATTTATCAGTTGTAGACCCTGATCTCTCTTTTTGACTCTTCAAGGTGGCCTTCCCCAGGCCTGGTCCATCTGGAAAGGAAAAAAAAAAGGAAAGGAAAAACAAAAAACCTTGGTGCCTGTCCAATCATGCCCCATTTATTGGCACCTGGGTACTGCCGGTACCTTAGGCTGTCACAGCAGAAAATGTGTATGTGGATAAACTGATGTAAACATCGATCTATGCGTTTTTACGTTGTATGTAAATAACAAAACCTCCCAACTCCCCCTGGAGGCCTGATATAAAAAACATACCACCAAGTTAACAACAGATCTATTCACCCATTCAACCACAACTTAATTTAATCACAATTTAGATTGCAAAATTTCATAAGTCCACCCCCTGGAAAACCTGTAGTCTAAAACTCTTGTCATTGAACCGGGCCAGGGACGACTTCAGCCTGTTCAGCCCCTTTGGTCAGTGTCATCATTGTTCACCGGAGGTAGCCTCTCGTGCTGTGGAGAGCCGGACTGGAGCAGAATCGGCCCACTGACGACTTCAGCCTCTCGGGTCAGTCTCGTCATTTTTCACCAGGGGTGGCCTCTCGTGTTATGGGGTGCGAAGGTGACGTGCAGAGAAGCGAAGTGAACCGCGGAGCAGCAGCGCTGTGTGGTGCCCGAGATAAGTCCGGAGTTGCAGCAGGCTTCCATCCAAACTCACCTGGATAATAAATAATTTTTATTCCGGATCACGCTGTTGTCCCCTGTTGACCTGAAACGAGCTAGGACCATGCCTTTCATTTCAGGAGGATTTTCTGACAGCTTCCTTTCTGGCAGCTCACTCTGCTATTTGCTGCGAATTATCTGTTTCTACCTGTTGATTCTGAACCCAGCTTCTGTTTCTCATGAGAGCATCCATCCATCTTCGCAGAGGGGCTGGAGCCCCCTTCAGCCCAACTCAAACTGTAGTTGGGGCACCTTGTCGGATGTTTGCCCATTTGATTTGTGACACTTTATGGTCTGAGACTTTTCTGCACCATTCATATTGTCATTATTTTCAGATCTCAAATTATCTGGAGTCACTGAATCTTGCTACATCTGGATCAGCCCATCACTGCAACTTACCCTGTTTTTGTGTTCTGAATGATCAAGTCTTCATTAATGTTTCTCATGGTTCGATTATGGGGGCTAATTGTCACATTATTAACTCCTATAATTACACATCAGTCATGTAAAACTCAAGAAAATGTCTGCTAATACTGTTGTTACTGCTCTCAGGTATTCAGCCCAACCCTGGACCCCCCACTATTTATATGACACCAAATGACTTTAAAAACATGTCAGTACTTCATTTTCTGCATGTAAACGCACATAGCCTTCTGAGAAAACTTGATACCTTGAAAATTCTGGTCAGTTCTTCTGGGGCAGATGTAATCTTCATCTCTGAAACCTGGCTCAACAAATCTGTACTCAATAATGACCTGGTTATCAATGGATTTAACATCTATCGCTGTGATCATGAAAGGGGGGGGGGGTCGCTATTTACATCAGATATTCTCTGGTATCTAGTCTTGTGTCTGCTAAGAGACAGCCCCCGGTTTACTCCAGAGCTAGCTGACATCCTGCACAGGAGAGACCATCTTTGGGCTGCAGTTAGAAAATCTGACTCAGACACTGACTGGTTGAGTTTTCGACAGATGAGGAATAAATGCACAACTGCCATCAAAGCAGCAAAACGAAACTATTTCTTATCTCAGACCTCCAAAAATCTAAATGACCCTAACAGATTCTGGAAAACCATCAAATCGCTCTCAGGCACCCCCCAATCATCTGACCTCCCATCACAACTTCTCGTTAACTCTGTTCCTGTGTCAAATAAGCATGAGATCCTGAACTGTTTCAACAAACATTTTGTTGCTTCTAGTTCTTTATTTGACACAGTTACTAACAGAAAATCATCCACTTCCCCTAATAACCAAACTTCTACAAATTAAATCCCTCCTACAAGTCAATCCTCAGTTAATCACACCTTCTCTTTTTCTCCATTCTCAGTCAGTGAGGTCAATAAACTGTTAAAAGATCTTGATCCTAAAAAATCTGCAGGTCCAGATGAACTTCCACCTTATTTCTTAAGGCTGGCTGCTCATATCATCACAGTCCCTGTGACCCACATCTTCAATCTCTCCAAAAGACAAAACTCCATCCCAGACACTTGGAAAACAGCCTTTGTTCTTCCTTTGCTGAAGGGAGGAGACCCCACCACACTGAACAACTATCGACCAATCTCTAAACTCTGCATTTTAGCCAAGGTTCTAGAAAAACTGATAAACTCTCAAATCAAAAATTACCTGGACTCATTTAACATCTTATCTCCACATCAATCTGGTTTCAGGAAACAACACAGCACAACCACTGCTTCACTGAAGGTTCTTAATGACGTTGTTGAAGCACTGGATGCTAAGGATTATTGTGCTGCACTTTTCTTAGACCTGTCTAAAGCTTTTGACACTGTGGATCAGAACATCTTGTGTCATAAACTCTCAGAAATTGGTTTCTCAGAACGCACCATTGGTTGGTTCTCTAACTATTTTTCAGACCGGAGGCAATGTGTTCAACATAATGGTACTTCCTCCAGTTATTTAACAGTCAACAATGGTTTACCACAAGGCTCAGTCTTAGGACCCACCCTCTTTACAGTCTACATTGGTAATGTACTTTGTAGGTCAGAGCATCCCTGATGCATCCTTACATTTCTATGCTGATGACACAGTTGTTTGTCGAGCTAAAACAGTTGCCAAGGCTTTCCAGCTTTTGCAATCTGCATTTGACATCATCCAGTCAGATTTGTTCCATTCCAAACTTGTCCTAAATGCAGATAA